TCTTCTATCCGCCTCCCACTCTCTCCCTATTTATTTCAGAACCCCCTTCCCCTCCCCCTTTTCTGATGAAGGGTCTAGGCCCGAAACGTCAGCCTCTCTGCTCCTATGATGCTGCTTGGCCTGCTGTGTTCATCAAGCACTGATAAGTTATTTAGTTACTTCTCATTTAGACAATAACACCCAGGACCAAATAGTAAGGATTTTTAATCAAAAGCACAAGAGATGCTGGAAATCTCAATGAAAAGAGAAAATGCTGGAAGCATTTAGCAGATATACGTAATATCGATGTTTTTCATTTTTTTTCTTTTGGTTTTTTTTCTTTTTCCTTTGAAGTGCTGGTAATGAAAAATGAACAAAAAACTTAGGTCGAATCGTGCTACAAATGGCAACAGAAGAATCTTTACTATGTGCACTGTCCATGAAAATGGGAGTGGTGATTATTTTTTGCAGCAGTTGCATTCAACATTGAGGCTCGAAGGTTATCAAGTGTTTAATCAAAAAGTAAAACGTTGTCATAATAGTTCAGATTGCTTACAGAATGTAAAAGAATTTTTATACACCTGCAATAACAAAATGAATGCAAGACATTTGTCAAATGAAATAGAAAAGATGTAATAGAAATTTATACATTTATACTTTGTACTTTTTTATTACTTATATGCCATACCAATTTAAGACTGAGCAAACAGGCAGATGAATCATAAGAAGTTTTATATAATTTAGAAATGCTTTACCAATTAGTCTGAACTCCTAGTCAAATTGAGGAAGTTTCTGTCACAACAACCTCCAGCAGAGTAATTAAGGCAGGGCCCAGTCATTCCATGCAAGTTCAAACAAGACTGTCATATCATTCTTGCCCATAAGAACATAAAAACCAACCACTGATACAGGAACATTGAGGTAAAAGAATAGAAATCAACTAATTATATTTAGATTATCCTAAAAACTGAAAGACCTCAAGCACAAAGACCTCTCATTTATTTCACCAATTTTCCAATTCAAAAGCTATCCAATTATATCTAAGTTCTTCAATATTTATTGTTTTGAATTAAAAATGCTTCAAATTCAATGCTTAATAAGAGTAAAATTTAATATTTCTTAAATGCTGGAAAAATACATATTTTGTTGAAACTGTTTGTCTTGCACTCAACAGGACATTTATATAATTAAATGCAAAATCAAAATTGTCCCAGAGGACCATTCTCATTGGAAAGAGACAACCAGTAGTGAATTTAACTCGAGGGTCACGGCTCAGGCAACAGGTTGAGAAGGTGGGACCATTGTGGTAATCTCAGCTGGTGCAGGAATTGAACCAATGCTGGGAGGGGAACTGTGACTGGGAGGGGAAGTTTCAGCTGGTGGTGTTCCACTACATCTGCTGCATTTGTCCTTCTGGGATTTAGAGGCCATGGGTTTGGAAGGTACTCTAGCAGGAGCTTTGGTGAGTTCCTGCAGTGTGTCGTGTAGGTGGGACACATTGTTGCCATTGCGCATTGGTATTGAAAGGAGTGAATGTTGAAGGTAGTGCAATTGCTGCATTGTGCTGGATGATGTCAGTTTTCTTGAGTTTTTATGAAACTGTAAATGGAGAGTTTTGCATCACACTCCTGACTCGTGCTTTGTAGGTTGTGGACTAGCTTTTATGAGTCAGGAGGTCAGTTTTGTACCACAGATTTCAATGTGTCTGATGTGCTGTTGTAACCATAGAAATTATATGGCTGGTCTCATTCAAGTTCTGGCTGCTGGAATCTCCAGAATGAAGATTATCAACAAGGCACGCTTGTACCTATCCTTTCTTGTGAAGGTTACAGCAATCCTAATGGTGCAGTTTTCCAAATTACTTTTTCACTTGACTAATCAATTGCATCCCAGTTCACGGTTTGGCCATTTCTGGGAAAATACCCAATTCTTTAGAACCTCCAGGTTATCACACAACTTTCTAAGTTTTAGACTTTTCTTAGCCAGGTGGCACAGTACTCCCAAGGACTTCTGTCTCCATCTCTGCCAGACAGAAAAAATTGTCCTGTTCCTGAGAGAGGCTTGGTTAGTCTCTTCACATTAATTGTCCTCTTTCTGTCTCTGTATGTTTTCTCTTTGTTCTGCATTTGTGCCTTCATCCCCCATCTCCCCTTCTTAAAAGTTCCATTGTGTCTCCAGCTCTCCTTTATATCTGCCAGCCACATGATTTATTTCTTAATTTTCTTCCTGATGCTAGATCATGTGTCACCAAGCCACATGGACCAGTATTTGTTATTATCCATGAGAATTACAAATGATCTCTTAACAATCAATTCTTAAAGTCCTTTATAATATTCTTAAGAACAATTATATCTTTTTCAACCTTTAAAGAAATGATAATGTAAATACTTTCTGATGTTACAGGCGGTACAGGAGTTTTCAGTCTACCCAAAATCTTATACAGGTACATTTCTCCAAGTAATTCACCCCCAAAAAATCCATAAATGCAGAAACTTACAATGAAGATGCTTACAATGCTGTGCCCTACCTGCCAAAACCTTACTTCCTATTGTCACATTTATCAAACCTTTGTATCAACTTTAAAAATTTCTACATGCTGTCTTTGTAAGGTTGTCACGCGATAAGCAAAATCACTAATTCCGTTTTGGGCGCCCCAGCAATTCAAAGGAACTACAGAAACGGTTTGACCTAATATCTTTAAAAGAGCACGATTACCTAAAAATACATTTGAAACAATTGATTATTTATCCACAATTATTACAATAAATTAATCTATTGTCTGCACATAACAGACTGCCAATCTCACTATTTGCCTGATAACACTGCTAGACTTTAACAAAATGCTTTGAATTGTCCATTTCTTGTTTTTGACAATAATTGACCACAAGGAAGAAAGCTCTTTAAAAGTTGCGTCTTTATTTACAAGACAATTTTGGCAATTCAATCCAACCATGCTGTAAGGTGCTCTCTCATTTCTCCCCTTTTCATTCTCGCGTGTCTGCCTTTACCTGGCAGCAGTGCCCTTCATTCTTCAGGCTGAAATCTATCCGCACTGTCCTACCCCCACCCCCCCACCACCCCCAAAACCAGGCTGACTATTGCCAGCTCACCGAGACCATGGCAACAGAGATCCAGGTTTCTCTGTACACAGAGCACACGCTTAATAGCCAACTCCCACGCCCTACCCCTGCTCTCATTTGCTGCTCGGTGCAAACTCGGCTGCGTCCGGCAGCCGCGGTTCCATCTCCAGCTATCAATCAATCAACACCCCCGGGGGCCCTGAAAGAATCACATATAGTCAGCGTGTAGCTCTCGCTGCGTTTACCTGCTGCAGCACATTGGACAGTGTGAAGACAACGACATTCACAGTGCCAGAGCTGGTCGGTAAAGAAAAACCTTTCTTTTTGCATTTCTTTTTAAAATAGTTAAGAAAAACACGGTTCAAATTCAGTCTCTTGGAATTTACTGGATAAACACAAAAAAATAACTGAGACGCACAAAAATTGCTGGAGAAACGCAGCAGATCTGCGGACGGAGAACAAAGTTAACGTTTCCAGTACAATCAGAACTGCGTTTTCCCAGCCACCATCAGTTCTGAGGAAGGGTCACCGGACCCGAAACGTTAACTCTGTTTTCTCCTCCACAGATGCTGCCAGACCTGCTGAGCTTTTCCAGCAACTTTGTTTTTGTTTCTGATTTACAGCATCCGCAGTTCTTTCGGTTTTTACAAGTTAGAGTTGGATCTGAGAGCACAGACTGCAGTCAGTTCGGAAGGAGATTTGTTAGACTAGGTGACGGGAGTGAAGAAATTAAGGTGACCGATGTCACGTCAATTCTGAAGGACTCCAAATGTCAATCGTTTTCTATCCGCAGATGCTGAGCTTTTCCAGCAATTTCTGTTTTTCGTTTCTGATTTACAGCATCCGCAGTTCTTTCGGTTTTTACAATGTATCTGAGAGTTTAATTTTCAAAATGACATCGAAATAATCAGATTTTAGCAACTGCAAGCAGGGTTATTCCATCATAGCATACTGACTAATTAAAGTGAACAGGAGATAGTAGTTCGATTTATTATCAGTTGCATAATGCTACTTTCGGATAACTAGTGAAAAGTACGACTGCTTAAAATACTGTTTTGTAACATGCAGACGTTGTTTTATTGCATGCATGATTGCATATTAATATGCCCTGGAGTCCAGCTTATTATCAGTGTTTGTACTTGAACAATATTTGCCCTTTCTTTCTTTGATCTTTTGTCAGAATGTTCCTTTGTACGCACAAGTACTGAAACTGCTTAGATGTGCTGGCCAATTAATATACTGACTGGAAAATCATAAATATATTAACAGGGACATGTGAGACCCGTCTAAAGAGTAAGAAATGTATTACAGACAACTTGGGTTAGACACCTGCCCAAGTGTCAGTGTTAGGAAAGGCTCAGCACCTTCCATTCGCTTCTTGTTGCCATTTCCCCAATGAGATACCAGACCACAGCATTAACATTAATCCTTGCGATAACGTGGAATTGTAGATCATTGTTCTGACCAGAAGAATAGCAAAATAGTGCAAAGAAGCATACAGGAAAAGTAAAGGTAATAGCTCCAAGCACTTCAAATAAATTTGCAAGTCCAAGTAGGCCTTGAGCCTTTGAAATTCCACCAAGATCCTCAACAAACTTTGCGATTTAAAATAGGTGCAGGAAGCTCCTATAGGTTATCAGGGCTCAGTCTTTGTCTAACCAATATTTTGACCCAGATAATTCTATGTATTACACCAAAAGCCCTAAATCCGTGTACAGTAAAGTAGGCGTAGACCTAACTGACCATAGGGCTGAAGAAGGGTCCAGACCCGAAACATCAGCTTTCCTGCTCCTCTGATGCTGCCTGGCCTGCTGTGTTCGTCCAGCTCTACACCTTGCTTTCTCAGACTCCAGCATTGGCAGTTCCTACTATCTCAGACCATAGGGCTGCTCTCCCATTAGTGAGAGGTAACTGGTGTTCGTTTAACCTGAGGGTCACCATGTGTCAGGCAAGAGGAGAGGTTGAGAAGGACAGTCCTTTGTAGTAATATAGAATATAGAACTGTACAACATAGGATAGGCCCTTCAGCCAAATTTGTGCCAAACATGATGCCAAATAAAACTAATCCTTTCTGCTGGTCCTTGGTCCATATCTCTCCATTCCTTGCATATTCAATTGAATTAAATCGAAACATTTATTGTCACATGTATTCAATACAAAATACACCTTAGCCAGTGCAGGAATTGAACCCACACTGTTAGCATCACTTTGTACTCTAAATCTGCCATCTAACCAATTAAACTAACTGTTTCCCTGCTGGGTCAGAACAAAAATGGAACTATTGTCTAAGAATGTCATCGGAAAAAACTGATCTGAAGAGATCAGCAAGGTATTTGTTCAGTAATAATACATAAAAATGTGGTTTACATTTTTATATATTTGTCTAAAAGCACAATTTTTATGCACTTCATATTTCGTACAGAATTAGGTCATCTAAAGATTCTTGGTAATCTTACTTTACTGTTAGATGTTAATGTACAAATTTACTTGAAGTGCTTGGAGCTATTACCATTAGTTTTTCTGTATGCTTCTTTGCACTATTTGCTATTCTTCTGGTCAGAACAATGATGTACAATTCTGTTATCTCAAGGATTAATGTTAATGCAGTTCTGCTGTGGTCTGGTATCTCATTGGGAAAATGGCAATAAGAAGCAAATGGAAGGTGCTGAGCCTTTCCTAACACTGACTTCACTGTTTACTGTTAAGGTAGGATGGTTCAAAGAAGCACAATAAGCATCTTTTGTAGTGCAGTTCAGGCTACTACTTTAAATCAATTGAGTTGAAATGTTAGTTCCAGCTATGAATCTACTTTAGCTCTTGTTGATTGTGCAGTAGATCTTTACTCTCACAGGTCTTGATGCACAGTTGGCTGGATTTGCAACTGATGACATCTAAGGATTAAAGGCAGTAAGAGTGTCAGTAACATTTATAGAAGTGACAACGACAATAAGTTACTGAACGGGAACAGCTCCCACATATTGGCTATGGTGAGGAGAGAACAAGGATTAGTTTTGGATTGCTGTAGCTAAGAGTTGGCACAGACATGATAGACTGAATAGCATTCAATCCTGTTATATGTTCCATTTCTGAAGGTGTTGCTAAATTATTGAACTACCTGCTTCAAATTTAATTGTAGGCCATTCAGAATTTGCTTACTGTAGGCAAAATCAAAATCATCTTTTGCTTTATCTCCTATCAGTTGCTAGGTATAACTGTGCTTACTTCCATCAATCTCCTCGGGATCAAGTCAAGCTAAATCAAGTGACATAGAATCTGAACATCCTGTTGTTTTCTTTCTCCATATCTAATATGTTCCAAGATCATCTTTTTCCATCTTTGTAGCATTACTGTGTCCCACTTCTCCAAAGAGCCCCGAAAACTCCTTTGGCTTTAGGGCTGGATTTCTCCAATAGTTTTCTCGATGGTTTCTTGGCATCCATACTGCACAAACTACATCTTATTCTGCATGCTGTTGCTTGCATTCTTAGCCACATAAAGCCTGTAGTTACTTTCATCCTCACAAGGCTGAATTAACCACATATGGATTAACTTCAAGTCCTCTATTGTTAGCTTCAGACTTCTTTCTGAATTTGTATCACTCAAACTTGACAATGATATTCAGCTCTCTGTTCGTTTTTGGCTCCAGTCGTGCTTTTCTTGTTTTCTGACCTCCTTGCTTCATTTTTGGTTGCTACTCTCCAGTGCGTCATGCTCCCACCTTTCAAAAATCAATGATAGAATTTTTAAAAACCGAAAGAACTGCGGATGCTGTAAATCAGGAAAAAAAACAGAAGTTGCTGGAAAAAGCTCAGCAAGTCTGGCAGCATCTGTGAAGAAAAGATCAGAGTTAATGTTTCGGGTCCGCTGACCCTTCCTCAGAACTGGTAGAACAGATAGACTTTTTATTCTTCTTTTGGCCTGATTCCTTAATGAAATTCTATATATCGTTTTCCCTCTCACGCAGGACTCTTGTGATTCCGTGATCTATTCCCTAATACATTCGTGTGACTTTCATTTGCAAAAGATATATATAAAGTTATATTTCTGAATCCTTTAAAGTTCATAAAAGAAACTAGACTTAATTCAATGCTTTCAGTAAGGACCTGGGTTTGATGGGAGAATCTGAAGTCTCAGTGACTACCTCCACACTGTGTTTCCTCCTGAAATGGAGTGCAGTATTAAGTAATTTAATGTAATATCTGCACACAATTTAAATCAGTTAAAAAAAATGAAAAAACAAATTGTATTTAAATATGATGATTTGCATATTTTGTAGGGGAAAACATCATTGCACTTTCAGACTCAACAATGACTGCTACTTACGCCCGTCCTAGAACAGCTAGTGCTAACTTTCTGCCAGCCATATCAACAATGGCATCAAGTTACAAAGGCCACTACCCTGTAAATGTGTTCAGACAAAGCTTAATGATGCCTTGGAGACCTAGCACTTATTACAAAGTAGCATCTGTTGCTCCTACTATGGCTTCTTTTACTAATAGTACCCCTGGACGTAATGAAACCAAAAGTGCTCAGATCCCATTGAATAGAACAACATTATTGACCAGATATACTCCTCAGGATTGGTATGAATGTAACCAGACCAGCTACAGCGAATCAGAGTCCTACAGACACAATGCAGAGAGGCTAAGGGCTGACACTGCTCGTCTGATCCAGAACAAGGAAAACATTACAAAGAAAACACAGTTTGAAACCAGCAAAAATTTAGGGGAACGTGTTAATGACATCATGTTTTGGAAATCTGAATTAGCTCATGAGACTGAGCAAATGATTGAAGAAACTAATTCTCTCAATGAAGTCAAGAAACGATTAGAGCGAGCCTTGGCAGAAACAGAAGGCCCTCTTCAGGTAAACAGCATCTTAATTCTGATTGATTTCATATTCAAATAATGTAATAATGCAGTTTGCCTTGATAATGCACAGATAAGATCAATATGCTAACTAGAAATAATTGCTTCAAATCAGGAGAGAAACTTTTCTCATTCCCTGCCGTAATCTTATTCATCCCTTTGTTTGCCGAACTGCCTTTCTGTCCTTCTGAGCTTCAAAGAACAAAGAACAAAGAAAATTACAGCACAGGAACAGGCCCTTCGGCCCTCCAAGCCTGCGCCGATCCAGATCCTCTAGCTAAACCTGTCACCTATTTTCCAAGGATCAGTATCCCTCTGCTCCCTGCCCATTCATGCATCTGTCTAGATACATCTTAAATGACGCTATCGTGCCCGCCTCTACCACCTCCGCTGGCAACGTGTTCCAGGCACCCACCACCCTCTGTGTAAAGAACTTTCCACGCATATCTCCCTTAAACTTTTCCCCTCTCACCTTGAAATCGTGACCCCTAGTAATTGAGTCCCCCACTCTGGGGGAAAAAGCTTCTTGCTATCCACCCTGTCTATACCTCTCATGATTTTGTAGACCTCAATCAGCTCCCCCCTCAACCTCCGTCTTTCTAACGTAAATAATCCTAATCTACTCAACCTCTCTTCATAGCTAGCGCCCTCCATACCAGGCAACATCCTGGTGAACCTCCCCTGCACCCTCTCCAAAGCATCCACATCCTTTTGGTAATGTGGCGACCAGAACTGTGCGCAGTATTCCAAATGTGGTCGAACCAAAGTCCTATACAACTGTAACGTGACCTGCCAACTCTTGTACTCAGTACCCCGTCCGATGAATGAAAGCATGCCGTATGCCTTCTTGACCACTCTATCGACCTGTGTTGCCACCTTCAGGGTACAATGGACCTGAACACCCAGTTCTCTCTGTGCGTCAATTTTCCCCAGAGCTTTTCCATTTACCATATACCGTATCATCTCCACTTATCCTCTCATTTGTTCTACCACCTCCATCCCCATCTTCAGTGTATGTACCACTGTTTCCTAGCTGCAACTCATTCTGATGAAGAGTCACTGGACCTGAAACATTGACTCTGCTTTCTTATGTAAATTCTGCCATACCTGCTGAGTTTCTCCATCAATTTCTGTTTTTGTCTCCCGCAACTAGCCTGTCCAGCCTGTTGGAATTCTATATGTTTCAAACAGAATCCCTCTCATCCTTCTAAAACCTAGTGATTACATGCCAGTCAAACCAAGCTCACTTCATAGGACCAGTGTAGTGAACCTCCACTGCACTCCCACTATGGTAAGTATATCCTTTATGTAGAGAGACCAAAACTCCACACAGTACTCCAGTAATGATCTCACCAAGGCCCTGTGTAACTGCCATAAGACATCCCTATTTCAGAACTCAAGTCCTCTTGTAATAAATGCCAATTTGCCTTCCTCATTGCTTGCTGCACCTGCCTTTTTACTTTCATTGACTGATCCACAAGTGCAGCAATTCCTTCTCCGATGCTTGGTTTTAAAACAAAACTTTTCTCATTTTAGTCCATAATCAAAAATAAGGGAAAAAGAAGGAAAGATGCAGTCTTTACAGAATGCCAAAAGATCCGTGCACAGACCATTCAACAACAAACGAACAAGAACCAAATGTAAGCCATTCGGCCCTTCAAGCCTGCTCTGCCATTTAATAAGATCATGGCTGACCTAATTTTAACCTCAGCTGCATATTCCTACATACACCTGTTATCTTTCATACCCTTGGACATCAAGAATCTGTCCACCTGTGCCTTAAAAATTATTTAAATATTCTGCATCCATTGGCCTTTTGAGGAAGGGAATTCCAAAGACTCACAACCACCTGAGATAAAAGGCAATTCCTCATCTTAGTCTTAAATACCCTCCCCCTTATTTTAAAACTACAGTAACTTAAGGAGTACACGAAATTGCAGAAGCAAAAAGAACTTTTAAAAATTGACAACCGGAATGTAAAATGTTCGTATCTTAGGCATTTAATCTGAGCTAAACAGCTACAGAGATCTCTTCTCGAAGGTGAAGTGGAGGCTAACAGAGGGAGGAGTCAACCTATAGAGAGTTGGATGATGGGTGTCAAACAACAGTTGCAGACAAGCTACAGTGGATGTGTGAAGATGACACAAGACAGATAAAAATGGCAGGCGGTCACCTGGTACAAGTATCTACAAACAGCAAAAGCAGCAACAGCTAATTTAAGTTGGACAGTCTATGTGAAATAAATAAAAAAGTAATAGACTCTGTAGATAATCAACAATAAACTCAACATAAACATTAATATTCAGGAATTTTGCATTCAGTACAGTTTGCTTTGAAGTTTCGCTCAGTGTCTGTCAAAATAATTTTCTACCTTGTTAAAAGGGATTGTTAAACCTATAGGATTATACATTTTGATTAAATAAATGTATGTTGTTTTTCTAGAAAGTGCAATGGTCTAGTGAAGGTTTTATTTCTTGTCTTCAATAGGCAAGGTAGATTATGTTTGGTCGCTAGCTTGTACATAACTGATATATTGGACAAATAAAGGAACATCAGGGACATGGAGTGTGAAGGCATAGGAATCCAGAGGAATTCACTGACAAACTAACACACGAAAAATATTTGAGAGTCAGAACCCAAACACCTGACAGTTTGGTATTATGACGCTCCAACACCTTTTAGAATGAATTTATAATATCACACTAATGGTGTTCAAAATGGTTAATTTGTACACAGTCCCTCCCCAACATCCCCTCCACTCCCACCCTACAATGCTTTGCAGTTCACAGTGTGATGATACAATAGCTTTAAGAGGTGTATTTTGTCCTGGTTGTTTCTATGAAGTAAGGTTGAGACAGAGGTGAGAAGCAGCCTGTTCCAAAACCAATAAAGTAAACCACCTTATGAGACCTTGGGTTTTTTTTTTAAATTGGAACAATAGAAGCGGCCTGAATCGTTGGGGTCAAGCTCTCACAGAACCAGGAATTTTTTTTTTTATTTTGGCCTTCAGTAGCAATTGCTAGGATCTTGAAGCTGGATGTGGAATCTCTTATTCCTCTCTCCATTACAGCTGAAAGCTGGGGTTCTCTTCCTGCTGATAGAATTGCATGTGAGACAATCTATTTTACTGAATTTGCCTTCGCCAATGGTGTGTTTATGGTATGTTACAACATTGGAACAGTTAATTAATAGTAGTTTATATCATTTCAAAAGAGTTACAGTTAAGCCAATTCTTTTATTTTTATTCTGTCTGTATTTTGTTTATAGTGGATGAATAAAGTGTGTTTTGTTTTAAGCCTGGTAGTTTGACTAATTGAATGCATGGGAACACAATACCTTACACTTATGTTTAAAACAAGAAAAATTTAGGGTCCAGACTATCTTCTTAATATACTTTGAGGGGGTTCAGGGTAGTCCATAACAACAGCATTAATCAGTTCAAAATAAGACACTAAATTAAAACACAATCTTTACATTGCATGGCATAATTTTTTTTAAACTTTGATAGAAAATGTTCAATGGGTGTATTATTAGTAGCAATTAACTGCTCATTACCGGTATTATTGGAAAGGAATACTAGGGTTTCAGAAGTTAATAACTGTATAGCATTGTATAACATATCTTAAATACTGTCAGAATGGGTTGTAGTTTGAGTTCTTCATTTGCATGTCATTTATTAATACAACAGATGTCGCAAGAATGTCTCTATCAGAGAGAGAAAAGGATCGGTATAGATCTTGTGCATGATGATGTGGAAAAGCAGTTACTAAAGGTTGGTGCAATTGAATCAGAAAGATTCCTCCGTTAAAAATATAATTGCATTGGTATGGCCATTTTGCTTAAGTGAGATCTGCAACTTTCTTCCAACAGGAGGTTGAATGTATAAAGTCCTGTCAAGAAAGAATGAGAAGATATCTGAACAAAGCAATAACCCAACTTACGTAAGGGTAACAATTTGAATTACAAAGTAAACCACACATTTTAAATTCAGGGAGAAAAAGAATTATGAGTTGCAGTTTCAGGATAGGAAGAGGATCAAAACTTGTGAAATTGAATCCTGAAATAAATCTGGATTCTGAATTGAGCACAGTATATTTTATGGCCTTTTTCAATTCTACATTCTTAGGCTGATCATGTTGGTATTGAAAAATGTTCTGAAACATTCAGGACTTTCAAGTATTCACATACTCTTTAGTGTAATGTAAAGCTTTTCTAGCCACTTCATTTGCAGAGAACCAGCATCCACCAATTAACTTGCATTCAAACTCTACAATTAAAGTACACCTCACTTTGGCCCATTTATTACATAACCAATATCATGTAACCAGGATCTGTCAGATTCTGAAACGATTCCCATCTTGTTATTTTTGAATGGCCATTTTCGCAGATAATTGTTTCTTGAAAACAACCAATTCAAATTTTTCTAAACAAAATCAATGGAATGTTTTGCTCTTAGTTTATTGCATGTGAACAGTGAGGTTGATGCTGAAAGGATAAAGAGAGATGAGGTCAGACAGACAAAGTTGGCAAGAATTACAGAATAGAGAGAAACCAAAGGGAAGGGGGAAGCGTAGCAGATTGTGTAGAAGATGAGTTGAAGGAACTTAGAGAGGAAGAGAAAAAATTGAAAACTTCAGTGAAACATAAATGGATAACAATAAAGAAAATGTTACAGAAACCGAGAGAAAAAGACAAGGAAGGGTTCGGTACAAAAATTATTGCTCAACCTGCAGACAGAAAAAGATACATTCAGAATCCAAGTAAAAATGGATGTTTACTGAATTCGTAAGAGTAAAGAAAGAAGGTAGGGGGAGAAAAAGAAACTACAGACAAAATCAGGAAACAATTACTAAAGCTGAAAAGAGATTATGGCAACCAGAAAGATAAAATACAAGAAAAAGTTGTTGTTATTTGACAAAAACAATATTCGTTAACATTTTCCACATGATTGAGAAAAGGAATATCAATTGACCTATTTGGTTGGCTTCTAGGCACTGGGCTAAGACACTTTGAAAATCTGTCAATGTGATTTCAATGATACAGTAGCCTGATGAGAACAGAGAATAAAAGGGGAGAGAAAGCCTGTTGGAATATGGTAAGAGAGAGAGAGAGAATTTTCTTGAGAGATGAAATGGAAAGAAATTCTCCAATGAGGGAAGAAATAAATCTCAAGGAGATTCTTTGAGAGATTTGAAGAGGAAATAGATTATAGAGAGGGAAGAGTCATGGTATTATAGGAAGAGAGAATCAGCAAAACCCTGTTACTGGATGATGTGAACTACCTGTTGGGAGGGAGATATTGTTACCTGTTTGGGGAAACCTTGTTATACGGAGAGAGACATACTCTGGCACATAAGGGATAAGAGTCACAGTTGCTCTCAGATCATGTTGTAAAATAGTATGGAAAAATTTTCCTCATCGAACATCTGGAAAATCTGGTTTACCTATGAGAGAATCTTAAAAAAATTTCCATCCATGACTTTCATTTCTGGCTCGTAATGTGAAATATCAAGGACAATCAACCATTTTACACACTTAACCACAACGAAGTCCCTAAACTTCCTCCTAATCTGTTTTTATAGATCATTACTTTTTACTGTCACATTAAGAGTGGCCATAGACACAAAAACTACAAAGGAAGTAACAATTTAAATGAACTTTAATTGTGAAATACCTTGTTACTTCTGACTTTTGTATGTAGTTGGAAACTTTAAATAGAACAACATTAATGTTAACTTGGTGATCACGTTTCATCTCGTCTGCACACGACAGTTTATTGGATTGAATACTAAAATGTACTTGGGTGTTGGTAGAGTATTGGAGGCCCACATAAATTCACATCTTTGTTTTGACTGACCTTTGAATACAAATTTCTAATTTAGTGAATTTCCTCAGTTCTTAGCTGGTTTTCAGTTCAGCTTTAATATTATATTAAATGTTTCTAGTTTCACCAGGAAAATATTGTGTGGGTCTCATGCAACTGGAGAAAACATCAAAGTAAACATGCTAGATTGATTAAGGTCAGCATGTGGGAAGAATCGTTTGGAAGATAGAATTCTACCTCCTAAATTTCTTGTTGTCAAAAATTGATATGGAATTGTAAATTCAACATTACAACTTAGTATCAAATATATTCATGGTAAACTGTATAATATTCCTTGATGTTACCAAAAAGGTATTTCATTACAAATATTACTTTAATGTTTGTGTCGTGGATTTAAATAATTGAATTCACATAATTTTTGTGTAAGACAGCCAATGTGTTTAAAGGTTAATACGACTAATTAGTAGTTCCTTGCTCATGACAAGTTGCTTTTCAAGGGTTATATGTTTCATTAATCAATTCAATAAGATGCTCAAATCTTATTTCTGAACTGGGACTCTGTCCCTGTCCCCCGTTAGATCTCAAACAGCCTCACACAACTTGGTGGTGTAGGATGGTGATAGAAAAATCCAAAATTCACTGGAACCGAAATGTTAACTCTGATTTTTCTTCACAAACGCTGGCAGACCTGCTGAGCTTTTCCAGCAACTTCTGTTTTTGTCCTTAATTTACAGCATCCGCAGTTCTTTTGGTTCTTGAGTAGATTTGTAGTTAGGGTTGTGGATGCTGTGTTTCGTTCACTCGCTGAGCTGGTTTGTTAGTTTGCAGACGTTTCATTACCCTGCTGGGTAACATCATCAGTGCAGCCTCCGATTAAGCGCTGTTATGTTTTCCCGCCTGATATTTAAACTCTGGAGTCCGTTGGAGTTGATTACCTAATTTCCGATTTTTCTTCACAGTGGTGTATGTAGAGTTAGACTCTATGTGTTTGTTGATGGCCTTCTTGGTGGAGAACCAGACCTCTAGAACTTCCTGTGCTTGTCTCTGTTTGGCCTGTCCTACCGACCAGCTCCACAGATATATCAGAGAAATTATGTGCCAAAAACCCTATTCCTAGATGCAACCAACCTAGAGTGGACAACAGACTTAGAAAGAGCCATTAACATCAGTCAACAAATAACAAGAACCAAGAAAAGACAGATTCTACAAGAAAAACTAGCCAAACTAACCCACCAAAATGACAACCAAAGATCAGACACATGGGTAAGAAACCTCTCAGACAGGAAACTATCAGACACAGAGAAAGCTGTTCCAATACGTGGACTCAACTACAACCACGGAGATGCTAACAGGACAGAGTTCCTAGCCACACTAGAATCGACACTGAAGATCAACAGCACGAGGGGACATAGCTTTAAATTGAGGGGTGATAGATATAGGACAGATGTCAGAGGTAGGTTCTTTACTCGGAGAGTAGTAAGGGCATGGAACGCCCTGCCTGCAAAAATAGTAGACTCGCCCACTTTAAGGGCATTTAAATGGTCATTGGATAAACATATGGATGATAATGGAATAGTTTAGGTTAGATGGGCTTCAGATTGTTGCGCCGACCTGTGAAACCATCGAGGGCCGAAGAGCCTGTACTGCGCTGTAATGTTCTATGTTCTATGTTCTATTGAGGATGCCATAAGACAGATAGTGGTCCTGACACTGACCAGTAGGAACAAACTTAACACTCTCAACACATCAGAAAGGAAGGCCCTAGAAGGACTGAAGAAAGACAAAAACATCATAATCCTACCAGCAGACAAAGGGCGCATGACAATAATACTAAACAAACGGGACGACCTCACTAAAGCACAGACGCTATGAGCAGACATGAACACATACCGGCAAGTGCAAATAGACACGACACTGCAACTGACTAATAAAATAATCAGTACACTAAAAGAGACTGAGACAGACCAGACAAATTAACAAAGCTGACTACCTAAAAATGAAACCTGAAGGGACAAAGACCGCCCCGATTCTATGGCCTCCCAAAAGTACACAAACTGGAAGTACCCCTCAGACCCATAGTCTCTCTCCCAGGCACACCAACACACAGGTCAGCCAAGGAGTTAAAATGAAGACCAAAGCACCTCATCAGCAAGTCACCCCACTCAACTCACTCAGCCCAGGAGTTTCCCAAATCCCTCAAAGACATGAGAATAGACGAGGACGAGACCATGGTGTCCTTTGATGTTACCACCCTATTCACATTGCTTGACTTGCCACTGGCAAGGGAAACACTAGCAACAATACTGAAAGAACAAGACCCAAGTGACACCATCTCCACAGACAACATGCTGAAACTACTGGACCTATGCCTCATGACGCACTTTACCTTTAATGGCCAAATCTATGAACAAATCAACGGGACACCCATCGGGTCACCTATCTCCGGACTAATCGCAGAAGCAGTGATGCAGAGATTTGAAAGCATAGCCCTCCCGCAGATCCAACCTAAACTATGGATCGGATATGTGGATGACACTTTTGTCATCATCAAATGGACTAAACTAGAGGAGACACAACAACTTATAAACAACACTCCCACTGGCATCAAATTCACCAGGGAAGTAGAAAAGAACAAACTGCCCCCATTCCTGGATGTCATGGTAAAATGCAGGGCCAACGGGGACTTTCTGACAAAGGTACATAGAAAGGCCACACACACAGATCAAGTCCTGAATTTCAACAGTAACCACCCTAACACCCACAAACGGAGTTGCGTAAAAACACTATTTACATGAGCGACAACACACTGCAGCAACCTGGAACGACACCAAAACAAAGAAGAATACCTCTACCAAGTATTTAAGGACAACAGACACACAAACAGCTGGGTCTGATGATGGCTATCACACAAACAACAACAGGAAGATACAGTATGCCCTGATGCACTCGTCACGTTACCATACATCATGAACATATCCAAACTGACCACAATACTCCTGCGACCACTAGGCATCAGAGTGACAGATAAATCTACGTCAACCCTACACCAACTGCCAACTTGAACCAAAGACCCCTTACCCACTATGGACAGAACCAGTGTGATATACAAGATCCCAATGCAAGGACTGCGACAAACATTATGTTGGACAGACAGGAAGGAAACTGGCCACAATAATACATGAACACCAACTAGCAACAAAAAGACACGACCAATACTCACTTGTCTCCATTCACATGGATAAGGAAAACCACCAATTCGATTGGGACAATATCAGGATCATAGGACAGGCCAAACAGAGAAAAGCACAGGAGTTTCTAGAGGCTTGGTTCTCCTCCAAGAAGGCCATCAATGAACATGTAGAACATTAGACCCTATATATACACCACTGCAAAGAAAATCAGAAATGAGGTAATCAATTCCAACGGACCCCAGAGCTTAAACACCAGGCGGGAAAACACAACAACGCTTCATCGGAGGCTGCACTGATGATGTTACCCAGCATTGGTAATGAAACGTCTGCGGAACAACAAACCAGTTCGGCGAGCCAACCAACCACAGTTCTTTTGGTTTCGAAAATTTAATTAATTTATTTTAATTTATATTTAATTCCTCTGATGCTTTATATCAGTTTCGGAATTTCCAGTTTGCAGGCTTCAGTCGCCTCCGCTTTATCATGGACATGCAATCCCATTACACTTCCATTCCCCATCAGGACAGTCTCAGGACTCTCCATTTCTTCCTGGAAAAAAGGCCTGAATCGTCCTAATCCACAGCCACCCTTCTCCACCTTGCTGAGCTTGTCCTCACCCTGAAGAAACATCTCTTTTAACTCCTCTTACTTTCTTCAGGTCAAAGGGGTGGCCATAGGTAGCTGCATGGTCCCTAGTTATGCCTGTCTTTTTGTGGGTACATAGAGCATTCCTTGTTCCAGTCCTATTCCGACCCCAACCCACATCTCTTTATCCGGCATGATGATGGTATCATCGGTACCGCTTCCTTCTCTCGTCCGGCTTTGGAAAAGTTTATCAATTTCACTTCTAGTTTCCACTCATCTCTCACCTTCACTGGTCCATCCCTGACTCCTCCCTTCCCTTCCTCAACAGCTGTTTCCTTTTCTGGGGATAGGCTGGTCACCAATATCCGTTAAACACCAACTGACTCCTACAGTTACCTTGACTATACGTCCTCACGCCCTGCTTCCTACAAAGACTTTATTCCATTCTCCCAGTTCCTCCGTCTCTGCCCGATCTGTTTGGATGATGCCATCTTTGACAAGGGAGCCTGTGAAATGTTTACCTTCTTTCTCAGTCATGGATTCCCCAGCACCGTTGTTGACAGGGCCCTCAGCTGGGTCCGACCCATCTGCCACACGTCAGCCCTCACCCCCTGTATTCACTCCCATAACAGTGATAGGGTCCCCCTTGTCTTTACCTACCATCCCACCAGCATCCACATCCAGAGGATCATTAGCTGCCATTTCTGCCACCTCCAGCGGGATGCTACCACCAGACATATATCCCCATCCCCTCCCTTGTCAACCTTCTGCAAGGACTGTTCCATCTGACCACCCTGGTCCACTCCTCCTTCACTCCCAACACCCTTTACTTCCTCCCTCCTCAGTATTCAAATGCCCAAACATACCTTCCAAATGAAGCAGCACTTTACCTGCACTTCCCACAATCTAATCTACTGCATTTGCTGCTCACAACATGGTCTCCTCTACATTGGGGAAACGAAGCATAGACTGGGTGACCCACTTAGCAGAACATCTACGTTGTGTCTGCAAAAAAGACCCCGAGCTTCCAGATGCCTGTCAGTTCAATACACCACCCTGTTCCCTCATCTCTGCCTCAGGCTTGCTGCAGTGCTCCAGTGTAGCTCAGTACAAGCTAGAAGAACAGCAGCTCATTTTCTGTTGGGAACTCTACTCCTTTCTGGACTCAATATCGTGATCAATAATTTTAGGGCTGAAGGCACCTTCTCCCATATCCTTACCCCAACCCACACACATCAGGCCTTATTACATGGTCTCCCAATGCACACAACCCATTGTTAGCCACGAATAGCCCCCATTAGCAGCTATTCATTTCTCCTAGGCTGACTGTTATCCACTCCTTTGCCTGTCCAACCATTCTTCCCTCTCTTTTGGCTCTATCTCCACCTATCGTTTACTCCTCTGCCGTCCCTCCAGCTTATCTTCTGCATAAAAACTGACATTTTCCTAGCTACCATCAGTTCTAAAGAAGGGTCACTGGACCCGAAATGTTAACTCTGATTTCCCTCCACGGATGCTGCCAGGCATGCCGACCTTTAGCAGCAATTTCTGTTTTTGCACCTGATTTCCAGCATCCACCGTTCATTCAGTTTTAAAATTTGATTAGGTTTCTTCCAGGGACTAAGTTTTATGAGCATTTGGTGATGTGTAAGAATGAGGGATGAAGGTGAGAGGAGAGAGTTCTGTTCAGTGAATGATAAATCCTCATGGCGATCCAATGTTCCCCTGAGTTAATTAAATGGAAGAGTGAAACATGGGGAGAAAATATCCTACGCTAAGTTACAGACAACAAAACCATTGTTTGTAAACTTAAATACATTTTAAACTTTTACTAATAAAGTCACTAACTATTATTACATTTCCATCAAGAGTAACTTATGGGCCATGAACTGACTTCAAATTGATAAATCAAAAATAGAGCTACTGCCAGATTCACTCATGAAAGAAGACCTGCCAGAAACCTCACAGTCCATAGTGTCATCCCAACTAATTATAGAAAATAAGCTAGTTGAGTCATATTTATTTGTTCAAGATTCTTATGAATGTTGTGCATATGACCTGGCTAAACATCAGAATTGAAACCCATGCCACCTGTAATGGCAGGTAACTATTGTATACAATAACAAGTGATAAAATGCTGCCTCCTTAATTATAATTGTTTCAATAGATCTGATGTTGTGGATTGAGAACATTCTGAGGAAAGTTTATGAACATGAAACATTAACTCCATTAACTAATGCTTTAGTGTACACAGATGTTGGCTAATTTGTTATGTATTTCCAGCATGATCTGTTTGTCCTTTCAGAATTCCAACATCCACAGTATTTTGCCTTTGAATATGGGTCCCAATTGGTATTCTATGTTTGCATTACTGAAGCACAAGGTTATTTATTTTTGCAGAACAAATAGAGGAACCCAGCATGAGCTGGAACAGGATATCAATGATAAAAACACAGCTTACCGAATTGATGGGAAATGTCACCAGCTGCGGAACACATCTGATGGCATCAGCTATTACAGAGGAATCGATCATGTGGATGCTACGTAAGCTAATAAAATAGTAACTATTTACCAGATCATTACTTTTTAAAATAAAGAATTTTCTGTTAGTAGGGTATCTGAATCTGAAAATGCCTATTGTTACATTTTGTGTAAATTACCATGACAATATCATGTCTGGTATTATAAAATGAGAAAGCACATTTTAGATTTGAACAATTGCTTACTCACATGTTGACTGGAGAAAAATGTATTCAGTTGCGATCCTGTTCATTTTCCAATGTCTTAAGAATTAAATTCCAGTTTGAAAAGTTTTAGAAGGAATAGCTTCATGAAAATATCTTAAAGAATAAAGTAATATATGATTGTAGCTTCCTACCTTCCTTTCAATTTCTTCATCCACTTTACATTGAGGAGACCATGTCATTTGTGTTCAATCAAATTGGGTCTCATGGAACTTAGAAACACAGCATTCCTTGAGGTTACATTTTGATTATTTGTTCATGTGATGTTGGTTGCATTGGCTAGGCCAGCATTTATTGGCCATCCCTAATTGACCTGGAGAAAATGGTAGTGAGCTACCTTCTTGAATAGCTACAGTCCTTGGTGTGCAGGGTCATTCATGTGTAGTTAGTTTTACAATTTTGACCCAATGACATTGAAGGAGTGGCAAGTAAGTTCCAATTCTGGATGAAATGCGTCTTGGAGGCTAACTTACGGTGGTATTCCTATGCATCTGCTGCCCTTGTCCTTGTAGATGAAAGAATTTATAGGTTTGGAAGGTGAAGTTGATAGATATTGTCCAGGTTTTGTTGCATTTGAACACAGTCTGCTTCAGTATCTGAGGAGCTGCAAATGGGGATGAGCATTGTGCAATAATCAGTGAATATCCTCATTTCAGACCTTGTGATGGAAGGAAGTAATTGATGAAGCAGCTGAAGATGATTGGGTCTGGTGCAGTCATTTTCACCTCACCTCTGGAATTCAGCTCTTTGTTCATATTTGAATTAAAGCTGTAAAGAGGTCAGGAGTTGAGTGGCTCTGTCAAAACCCAAACTGGGCATCAGTGAGCAAGTTAATAGCCATTAATTGAACATTTAAGGGCCTTAATTGCTGGTGAGTCAAGAAAGCCTACAGTGGAGCTTCTCATTGAATATATAATTGTTGAGAGGACAAGAAGAGCTAAGTATATCTCCAGGCTGACTTGCCCAGTTATCTCCTGTTATTGACACCTCCAGGGAGGGGAAAATTATACCCTATGCCTTACCTAAGACTTACTACAAAAAAGCATCTTTAGCGACAAACTATAGCTGCAGTATTCCTGGGAGCTGGGGAGGGGGAGGCCAAAATCACCTGGAAACTTGGCCTGGTTCAGATATGAGTGTCCCATGATCTTAATGGCAGAATTTTGTTTGCATCTTTTAATGTCATTTTTAACTTCATAACAATCTGGGGTATGAAATCTCGAAATTGGGAAGTTAGCAGAGATGCTAGAGATTAGGGACATGGGAAGAAAGCCAGAGATTAAGTGAAATATATCTAAGGTGTTCTTCAGGGCCAGGAGAGGACATTTCTTGCTCTCTTGGTCCACAAGGTGTACCTAAGGATTCAGTCACTTGGTTCAGTTGTCAGAAATCCAACAGCTCAAACGTCCGCTCAGTTTCTGTTAAACTTTGGGTATAGCTACAATAATATCATCAGTTTATGACTTTGGTATATTATTAGGTATCCACCAGTCATTTGCAAGTGCTCCTTCGTGTCCTGAAATCCAAATTTTAAAGGGATAAATCTGATCAGATTGTTTGATCCTGATATGTTAACGCAGCAATCACTGCCTACCCATCAGTATCCTTAAAGTCAAGGGCTATCTCTCGGAATAATGAGTAAACCACTTCTACTGAAGAAATACATTCTCTTTATGAATGATAAACAGAAAGTAATTGAAATGCTGAATTGTTCAAACATTTCTCAGACTTCCAAAGTGAAGTAACTAAACAAATTGGGATATTTCGGCCTGTTATTAGGTGACTGTTTGTGCTATAATTTAATATGTATATTGACATTAAGGGAATGATATAAACATACTTTAGTCATTCATAATAACCCAGACTGTTTTTACAATACCCTAATTGTAATCAATTTTTTTTATTCAATGAATATTTTGTTGTCAAAATTGATGTAGCAGTTAAACCTATAAAAAAAATGCCCATTCATGAATCAAGGTGATTGACAAAAAAGCACTATTTGTTGGACATTTGTCAAAGAACTTTTGGAAAAAGTGCATAGCAGAGAAATGGATCGTATCTGGAGCTGTGACCCACTTGGGATAAAGAGGAGCAATTCTGTATTTCTGCCTGACCTTTTACTTTTCTCCTTTCTAGTACTGTTGCTCTCCGAATGTTTGAAAAGGCAGTTGAAGATAGAGATATGCTGATGTCTTTGTAATTTTTTTACACACAGAATTTCTGTTCCAGAGTCTTGGGCCAAGTACACAGATAATAACATTTTACGATCACAGAGTGAACGAGCTGCATCTGCTAAACTCCGCAATGACATCGAAAATCTCCTGAATTCAACTTCTAATGAGATGTGGAACCAGTTTAATAATCTAAATGTGTCATTTACAAACCGCATCTCTGAGACCGCTGAAGCCAAGAATAAGTTGCAGACGCATCTTGCTAAGGTAAGTGCAGGATTCAGGTTAACCTGTCTGATAGAATTCATTTGAATTTTGAATTTGGATTAACTTTAATGCCATATGTACTCACATGAGTACAGTGAAAAGTTTAGAAGTTTCACTTACAGCTCCATCCTAGGTATAAAGGTACCTAGATACAGATTTTGAATTTATGGTCCAGCTTTAGATTCACTGTGAGATCTGCAAAAGCATTTTGCATCTTATTTAAAAAGTACATTGACATTTACATGGCTAATAGTTTTATTAAATATTCATAAATAAGTATATATAATTACTTTACCAAAATAATACGTGACTAGGAACTTGCTAATAACTGTCACTGAAGTATGATTTAGATCAGTGGTTCTCAAATTTGTTTGGTTGAAGGAAAACTTTTCAATGGATTGCATACACTTATCTAAATTATAATACCATACAATAGTGGTAATATGAAATTGTGTAGATAGAGTATTGTAATGATGCGTTCAGCACAACAAGTTTTCATTTATAGCTATCAGTCAGATGATGATGCCTGCTTCTCAAAACATTCTGCCTCTCCTTGGCAGGAGCACAGAGAGTACAGCAGCCTGGAGGAAGTGAAGAGAACAGGAAAATGGGGGCAGGGTTGGATGGTTCATGGAGAGACCACCAAAAGAGTAAGGGGAGAGCAGAAACATGGTGAAGGCAACAGAGCATACCTCCACCATAAGTTATCTGATTACTCTTGACTGCAAACCCTTGGATATACCTGCTGTTCACTTGTAAAGCAAGCCTGTGTTGTGGACCCCCTCAGAAAGGCTCAATGGGCCCCTGTGTATCTGTTGATACCTGTACACAATTGAGGTAGCTTTTTTAAAGTGGGTATCTGTGAGGAAAAAACAGCAGCTCTGAGGAATTGTAGAATATTACAGTAAGAACAAAGAGCAATACAGCACAGGAACAGGCCATTCGGCCCACCAGGCTTTTGCCGATTCCTATTCCTTTTTGCCTATATTCCTGATGGCTGCTTATTGCCCATATGCAGTTTCTATTCCTCTGTTCGCCTCCTATTCACGTGTCTGTCAAGATATGCCCTAAATGTTGTTAACGTGCCCGCTTCCACCACCTCCACTGCCAGTGTGTTCCAGGCACCCACCACCCACTGTGTGAAAAATTTTTTCCACACTTCTCCCCTAAACTTTCCCCCTCTCACCTTGAACCTGTGCCGTCCTGTGGTTGACTTTTCCACCCTGGGGGAAAAGCCTCTGACTATCCATCCTATCTATGCCTCTCATAATTTTGTAGATCTCTATCAGGTCACCCCCTTAGCCTCCATCTTTCCAGAGAAAACAATCTGAGTTTAAACCTCTCCTCATATCTAAAACCCTCCAGACCAGGCAACATCCTGGTAAACCTTCTTTGCACACTCTCCAAAGCATCCACATCCTTCCGGTAATGTGGCGATCAGGACTGATCGTAATCTTCCAAATGTGACCTAGCTAAAGTTTTATACAGCCATAACATAACTTGCCAACTTTTATATTTACTGCTCCAGTCAATGAAGGCAAGTGTGCTGTATGCCTTCCTGACCACCTTATCCAACCTGTGTTGCCACTTTCAGGGATCTGTGGACTTGTACACCCAGATCTCTCTGTATGTCAATGCTCCTAAGGGTTCTTCCATTTATTGTATAATTTACATCTAAATTTCAGCTTCCAAAATGCATCACCTTGGATTTGTCTGGATTAAACTCCATATGCCATTTCTCTGCCCAGATCTGCAATCTATCTATATCCTGCTGTATCCTTTGACAATCCTCCTCACTATCCGCAACTCCACCAATTTTGTTGTCATCTGCAAACTTACTAATCAGACGACCTACATCTTCTTCCAGATCATTTATATATATTACAAACAACAAAGGTCCCAGCACTGATCCCTGTGTAACGCCACTAGCTACTGATCTCCATTCTGAAAAGCACCGTTCTACCACTACTCTAGGTCTTCTATAACCAAGTCAGTTCTGTAAAGTCCACGTAGACGATGTCCACAGCCCTTCTGTCATCAATCATTCTTGTCACCTCCTCAAAAAACTCAATCATGTTGGTGGGACATCACCTTCCCCACACAAACCCATGCTGAGGCTGTAGACAGGCTCGCTGAGCTGGTCGGTTTGGTTGCAAATGTTTCATCACCCTGCTAGGTAACGTCGTCAGTGCCTCCAGTGAAGCATCGGTGTTCTGTCCTGCTTGTTATTTATATGCCTCGGTTTGTTGGGATCATTGGTATCACTTCTGGTTTTGTTTCAGCTCAGGGAGCATGTCTACAACCTCATCCACAACCCGAGCTACAAATCATCTGGAAAACTTTTACAAATCCATGCTGCCTATCACTAACAAGTTCATTTGCTTCCAAATGTGAATAAATCCTGTCTCCCAGTATCTTCTCCAACAGTTTCCCCATCAATGACTTCAGGCTCACCAGCCTGTAATTTCCTGGATTATCTCTGTTTCTCTTTTTAAGCAAAGGAATAACGTTGGCCATTCTCCAGTCTTCTGGAACCTCGCTTGAGGCCAATGAGGATACAAAGATATCTGTTAAAGCCCCAGCTATTTCCTCCCTTCTCTTGTGCATAATCCTGGGATAGATCTCATCTGGTCCTGGAGACTTGTCTACCTTCCATTCATGTCCTTCATTTTCACAGGAACATGCCTCTCCTGCACTGTAATCAACTGGTCTTTACAAGACTCCCACATGTCAGATGTGGCTATACACTCATTCTCCAATTCTTGCCTAATTTGGTTCAAGTCAGCCTTCCCCCAATTTAAAACCTTCATTTGAGGTCCACTCTTGTCCTTTGCATAAGTATATGAAAACTTATGGAATTAAGTTCTCTATTCCCAAAATGCTTCCCCACTGAAACTTTGATCATCTGGCCGGGCTAATTTCCCAACACCTGTGATAGGGTTAGGGTTAGGGTTAGGGTTACCCTATCGTATACCCCTTCCTCATTGGACTATCCACATACCGTTTCAAAAAACCCTCCTGGACGCATCTAACAAATTGCTCCCCATCCAAACCCCTGGCACTAAGGGACTCCCAGTCAATATAGGGGAAGTTAAAATCACCCACCACATCAACCTTGTTATTTTCACATCTTTCAAGAATCTGACTACATGTCTCTTCCTCCATCACCCACTGGCAACTGCCAGGTCTGTAGAACAGTCCCAGCATTGTGATTGCTCCTATTCTTGAGCTCTATCCATAATGCTTCGCTGCACGATCCCTCCAGGGTGTTATCCCTCAAACAAGAAGGAGGCCATTCAACTGATCTTGTCTGTACTGGCTCCCAAAACCACTACCGAGCTTATCCCACTCTCCAGCCCTACCACCGTAGCCCTCTAATTTCATCTCTTTTAAATATATACCCAGGTCTCTTCTGAAACTTACTATGGAACTCGCCATAGATCTCTGGTACCGAGACTGGGTCTACTGTAATGACGGGTATGTCAGGTTCCAAGTGATCAATTGTGATAGGGGACTGTCTAGACAGGGGCACAGTTAGACATTTCAGTGGTTAACAGTGAGATATCAGAATGGTGCGAGGGCCAAGGATGTTTTAGAGAGGGTGCAGAATATTCTCAACGAGGAGAGTGACCAGCAGAAGATCATTGTACATGTTAGTACCACTGACACAGGAAGAGAAAAGGATGAGGTTTTGCAGAGAGAGTATAGGAAATTAGCTACGAGATTAAAAATATCTGGATTCCTCCTGGTACCACATGCTAGTGAGAGTAGAAATAGGATGATAGGGCAGAGGAATGTGTGACTGAGGAGCTGGTACAGGGAGCAAGGATCCACCTTTTCGGATCACCGAATTTTTTTTCTGGGGTAGAAGTGGCTTGTATAAGAAGGCAAGTTCCACTTAAATTGGAAGGGGACCAAGATCTGATTTGCTCTTGCTATCCAGGAGGCTTTGAATTAGTAAGGGATGTGGGGGCCTCAAAGAGATAGTGAGAGAAAAGGTAAGTCTGAGGCTGGTACAGTAGAGAAGAGGAGCAAGTTAAATAGTGAAAAGAATGATCACCATATTGGGATTGTAATGTAGGCCCCTAATAGTAAGTGGAAAATTGAGAAGCAAACAAGTAAGGAGATCTCAGACATCTGTAAGTATAATAGAGTTGTAACGGTAGGGGATTTTAACTTTCCAATCATTGACTGAGGCTGCTATTGTTAAGGGCTTGGACGGATAGGAATTTGTTAAGTGCATACAAGAACATTTTCTCATTCAGTATGTGGATGAACCTGTTAGAGACGGAGCAAAACTTGATCTTCTTTTGGGAAATAAGGCAGGGCAGGTGACTGAGGTGTCAGTGGGGGAGCACTCTGGGGCCAGTGACCATAATTCTATTAGTTTTAAAATAGTGATGGAAAAGGATAAACCTGATCTAAAGGCTAAAGTCTTAAACTGGAGGGAGGCCAATTTTGACAGTATTAGGCAAAATCTTTTCAATAGTTGATCAGACGAGGCTATTCACAGGTAAAGGGATGGTTGGAAAATGAGATAACAGGAGTTCAGAGACAGTATGTTCCTGTTAGTGCAATGGGCAAGACTGGTAGGTGTAGGGAATGCTGGATGACTAGAGTAATTGAAGCTGTGGCCAAGAAAAAGTAGGTGGCATATATCAGGTATAGGCAGCCAGGATCCAGTGAATCCCTAGAGGAGTATAAGGGCAGTAGGAATATACTAAAGAGGAAAATCAGGAGGGGAAAAAGGGAACATGAGGTAGCTTTGGCAAATAGGGTTAAAGAGAATCCAAAGAGATTCAACAAATACATTAAGGGAAAAAGAGTAACTAGTGAGCGAATAGGGCCCCTTAAAGATCAACAAAACCATCCATGTGTGGAACCACAGGAGATGGATGAGACACAAAATGACTTTTTCCCATCAGTATTTACTTTGGAGAAGAAAATGGACGCTAGAGAACTTGGGGAAATAAATAGTAATATCTTGAAAAGTGTCTGTATTACAGAAGAGGAGGTGCTGAATGTCTTAAAATACATAAAGGTGGATAAATCCCTGGGACTTGATGAGATGCATCCCAGAACTTTGAGGGAAGCTAGGGAAGAGATTGCTGGGCCCCTTACTGAGATATTTTTGTGATCAATATAACCAAGAGATTAGGTGCTGGAAGACTGGAGGTTGTCCCATGTGGTGCCATTATTTCAGAAAGGTGGTAAGGAAAAGCCAGGGAACTATAGACTGGTGAGCCTGATGTCAGTGGTGGGCAAGTTGTTGGAGGGGATTCAGGGGGACAGGATTTACAGGTATTTGGAAAGGCAAAGATTGATTAGGGAGAGTGAACAGGGCTTTGAGTGTGGGGAATTGTGTCACACTAACTTGATTGAGTTTTTTGAAGAAGTGAGAAAGAAGATTGATGAAGGCAGAGCGGTGGATGCTGTCTATATGGACTCCAGAAAATGGGGGAAGTGGGTATAATTACAACATTTAAAAGGCATCTGGGTGGATACATGAATAGGAACGGTTCAGAGGAATACGGGCCAAATGCTGGCAAATGGGACTAGATCCGTTTAGCGTATCTGGTCATCATGGACGAGTTGGATTGAAGGGTCTGTTTCCATGCTCTGTAACTCTATGACTCTAAATTTACTATTGACATTCCTGACTAACATATTAATAGTGTTTTAAATGAAAATATATTTCAGCAGTAAGACTAGCAGTATTACATGTTTGTTAATGATGTCTGCTCAGTGTACAAGTATTCCCCAACCACCACTGGCACATAACTTCAGGTATTAGCCCAACATGTAGGAAAGACCTCACCAAAATAAGGGCTGCCACATCACTGACAAACACACACATTTATAAAGAGAAAATTATATGAAGATGTGCTGTCACCACCTCTACTGACTTACAGATTATGTATCTAGAGTATTTTTTAATTTTCTTATAGGATGGGGATATCACTGGTTGGCCAGAATTTACTGCCATGTCCCTAGTTGCCCTTGAGAAGGCGGTGGTGAGTTGCCTTTTGAACTGCTGTACGTTGACCAATAATACCATTAGACAGGGAATTCCAGCACAATTGAGAAACAAATGCAAAGCTGAATAATGCAATCTCAAAGTTAGCCAAAGATTACTTTTCTAAAGTACAAAAGGATTGCCAACCAGTTTTATCTGTGAATGATCGAAATGTTGTTACACATTGCTACATTCAGCTGTCGAGTAAACCGAATACTCATCTCTCAACGTGTATTTCCTTGATACAAGATAAAAGCAAGTGGGCTCTGTTTCCAACAAACATTACAGATTAAGTCCATGATTTTCTCCCTCTGTGTTTTCTCTGCTTCTGCAGACGCTTCAAGTCATCTTTCAAACTGAACTGACAATCGAAAGCATCAAGAAAGCTATCAAAGATAAGGAAGCACCTTTAAAGGTAGCTCAAACCCGACTGGATGAACGTACACGGAGACCAAATGTGGAACTGTGCTGTGATCCAGCCCAAATACAGTAAGTCAATAAATGAGGATTCCCTCATACAATCTCACTGGGCAGCAACTGCAAGACAATAATGACTCTACAGCCTACAGGGGGGGACCCTACACCCCTCCAGACTCAATATTGAGTTCAATAATTTTAGGGCCTAAACTCTCCCATGTCCCAGCCCCCCACCCCACACACCAGGCCTTGTTACCACATAGCCTGCTATTACACACCCCCTGTTGTTAGTCACTAACAGTCCCCATTAACAACTATTCACC